TTGATAGGGATTGCATTGAATCTATAGATTGCTTTGGGTAGTATAGCCATTTTGACAATATTGATTCTTCCAATCCATGAACACGGTATATTTCTCCATCTGTTTGTGTCCTCTTTGATTTCTTTCATCAGTGTAAATCTGTTTTTTTAAAATTATACTATAATTGCTTTGAGAGTCCCGGGTGGCACAGTGGTAAAGAATCTGCCTGCCAATGCAGGAGATGCACAGAGATGAGGGTTCTAACCCTGTGTTGGGGAAGGCCCTAGTGGAGGAAATGGCAACCCAGTCCAGTATTCTTGCCTGGAAAATTCCATGGACGGAGGAGCCTGGCAGGCTACAATCCACGAGGTCACAAAGAGTTGGACATGACTGAGTGAGCACAAACACACTACTTGCTTTACAATGTTGTGTTAGTTTCTGCTGTACAACACGAATCAGATGTATATATATCTCCTCCCTCTTGAGCCTCACACCCCACTCCCCATCCCACCCCTTTAGGTCATCACAGAGCCCCAGGCTGAGCTCCCTGTGTTAGACAGCAGCTTCCCACTAGCTCCCTACTTTACACATGGTGTATATATGTCAGTGCTACTCTCTTAATTCGTCCCAGCCTCTCCTTCCCAACCTGGCACATTTAGATCCAGCTTGCGCTCCTCACTTCTCAGCAGAGACCTTCTCCCTTTCCTCTGGAGTATGTTCATGTTCACACATCCTCATCCACACAGCCCAGGCAGGATGTCAGTGAGATGTGGGCAGACGCCCTTTGTAGGAGCTGAAGGTAACACGGCTGAATGTTCACCCCCATTGAGGGGGATGGGTTGGTAGGGGCATCAGCCAGACCTTGTCAAAGCTTCAGGGCACTCTGAGACACTGTAGGCTTGCTGCTCCCAGCTTAGGCAGGGCTCACTGTCTTACATTCCCTGTGGGGACAGCTCTGGTCTCAGCCAAAACAAACCCCAGCAGCAAGGGTCTTCACTTCATGGGGTAAACAGCTGAGGGTGGCACCTGATACATAAGAGTCAGAGCTCAGCAAGCAGCCGCCAGTCACAGCCAGGAGAGATATGACTCTCCTCTTAGTTGGGCCCAGAGAGCTATGAGGACAGCCCTGGGGTGGAAGGCGAGCCCTCCACTGTGCCCAGCTCACACCCCAAAGATCTGAGACACAAGGGGAACCACATGATTATGTTCCCACAGCCAGGCAGCTCCCCTGAGGGGCAGTTGTGATAAGAGAAATGACAGAAATGCCAAGTGTCACAGAAAGATAACGTACAGACAGGTTCAGCTTTGCAAACTGTTCTGCTCTGGAATCTAAATCCTTTCCCCTCCTCACTGAGGAATGCCAAGCATTCTGCCTCCCCTCTTTTCCAAAGACCAATGGCCACCTCTCCTGCAGAGACCTCTGACCCAAGCAAATGCCTCAGCACCCCAGCCCAGTCACACGGGACACCCTCGGCCTTTTGAGTCATGCATATTCTGGGTACATCTATTTCCTGTTCAATGACAAGAGATTTTGTAAGAAATACGGTGTTGAGTGGTGAGGGAGCAGCTCCTTCACGGGGTGGGGCTCCCAGGAACAGTGTGCACCCACACGGATTTTCTTTTGGCCAGGTGAGGCTCCAACCACTAACTCAGGCACTCAGCACTCCCCAAAGAAACAGATAATTAGCACCTTTTGGAGGGCTTTACTTGAAAAGAAAAAAGAAACCAATTCTTTAGCCAAGCATTTGGTTAACTCATAAACTCACAGCATCCCAACATCAGCTCCTTTCCCTGCTGAGCTGAATCAGTGTGGGAAGTAACCCCCAACTGGCTGCTGGAGAAGGGAGCCTTGCAGATGGGAGCAAGCCGGACTAGACCTTTAGGGGCCCTTCTGATTCAATAACCGACATCTGTTCTCTGAAGCCAGGTGTGCCTCAAACAAGCACTTTGGAGGGCAAGCCTGGGGGTGGTATGGACACCGTGCAGTCAGGAGGCAAGTTTGAACACATTAGCAGGTGTGTTTTAAATGCAGAGAGCTTCAGGCCTCATTCAAAGAAAGTTTCTTCTAGAACCATCATTTCTCCTTTTTAAAAAGAAAATATGTGAATCAGTTCTAATGAGATGGATGAAACTGGAGCCCATTATACAGAGCGAAGTAAGCCAGAAAGATAAAGACCATTACAGTATACTAACACATATATATGGACTTTAGAAAGATGGTAACGATAACCCTATATGCAAAACAGAAAAAGAGACTCAGATGTATAGAACAGACTTGTGGACTCTGTGGGAGAAGGCGAGGGTGGGATGTTTCAAGAGAACAGCATTGAAACATGTATATTATCTAGGGTGAAACAGATCACCAGCCCAGGTTGGGTGCATGAGACAAGTGCTCGGGCCTGGTGCACTGGGAAGACCCAGAGGAATTGGGTGGAGAGGGAGGTGGGAGGGGGGACCGGGATGGGGAATACATGTAAATCCATGGCTAATTCATTTCAATGTATGACAAAAACTACTGTAATGATGTAAAGTAATTAGCCTCCAACTAATAAAAATAAATGGAAAAAATAAAAAATAAAAAGAAAATATGACTTTCAGAGAAGCTTCCCTTTTCTGTAACAAAGTCCCGTCTAGTCAAAGCTACGGTTTTTCCAGTAGTCATCTATGGATATGAGAGTTGGACCATAAAGAAGGCTGACCACTGAAGAATTGATGCTTCTGAACTGTGGTGTTGGAGAAGACTCTTGAGAGTACCTTGGATGCAAGATCAAACCAGTCCATCCTAAAAGAAATCAGTCCTGAATATTCATTGGAAGGACTGATGCAGAAGCTGAAGCTCCAATACTTTGATCACCTGATAAGAAGAGCTGATGCTGGGAAAGATTGAAGGCGGGACAAGAAGGGCATCTCCAACTCAATGGGCATGAGTTTGAACAAGCTCCAGGAGATGGTGAAGGACAGGGAAGCCTGGCATGCTGCAATCCAAGGGGTAGCAAAGTCAGCATGACTCAACAACTGAACAGCACTCCTCTTCGGAGGCTGGCACTCTCATGCTGATATGCAACATTTGGGGGATCAGGAAGAAAGTAGGGGTTTTAGCACTCCCATACTTATGCATAATCTCCATCAACTTTCCCCACCCTCCTCACCCAAGCCACCCCCTTGAGGTTGTTATTCACTGATGTGGTCTTCTCAATCTTCTGTTGTAATGAATGCTGGGGGCCCATCCCACTAGTGTTCACTGTAATGGCCTATGGTTTGGATAGACTCAGAGGGCACCCTGGCTGCCTGGGGTGATATCTGTTGCAGTGTGTGGTTCAGGGATGGTGCAAAACCTAAATTAATCCATTCAGAGTGAAACCTAGGGTTTCATTCAATGTTTAGGAAGAGAGAAGCCCTCTCTTTCCTCCTAGCTGGGAATGAAGACATGGCCTTGGAGGTGCCAGCAGCCGCCATCCGGGGAGGGAGGCCGGGCTGAGGCCAAAACTGACCCATGGAGGAGGGTGGGGTTGACAGAACACAGAGATATCACCTGCAGTCCTGAGAAGATGGAGAATTTCTAGAGCAAAGCAACCCAAGGACTGGCTCTACCTCTGGATGTTTTAGTTGTATGAGCTGACAGAGTCTGTTGTTTACACCAGTGGGATGTGGAATTTTTGTTATTGAGTTGATAAGCACTCTAATAAA